ATGTGAATGTTTTTACCTTTTTAATGTAGGAAATACTGTTGGAAATATGTTGTACCTGCTCACAAATCAGTAGATTAGAGGTTGTGACTGTTTCCTAAACTGCTGAGAGTGACAGAGTGAGCCTCAAAGTTAAATATAGACAACCAAAATATCCATAACTCCACCAGTGAAATCGTCTATCCAACCACGAATCTAATGAGTGATTATTTTTGCTTTTTCTGGGTAAATTAAACATGAAGGAATCGTTTATAGGATTTCCACTTTAAGTTCCTTTAAAGAAATTACTGAATGAGACTTTACTGATGCTCTATCATGACTGATAGTGTCATAAGTAGAGAGTCAACCTTCTCATCCTGACAGACGTCCACAGTTACATCATCATCAACACTTACACTGCACAGGTGTCTAATAAAGTGGCCACAGTGCTTCTGGTTTTACCTTCTTGATCCTCTTGCAGGGACACCGGAGCTTCACCTTCTGCTGACACGTCTCCTCACACACACCTGGATGGCACACCTGCTTACAGCGATGGCCACAGCTCAGCTGCACACACACACACACACACACACACACAGATTAATTGTGCTGCTGTAGCGAGGCAAACGTGAGCTCTGTCCAAGACAAACATGAAGCAACCGTCGAACAGTGAAACGAAACACTGGCTCCGCCCCCACGGTCGCTTTGATCCTTTCGCGGTGGAGGAAACGTCACCACCGTCAGCTGGAGCGCAGCTTGTATCGGACTCACATAAACTAAAGGCTGAAACTCAAACAAGTTTTTTTGTGGTTTCTTTCATGTTTTGAAACGATTGTGAAGAGTTTCAACATCTCCAGACGAGACGAGACGACTTCTGGATTTATTTCTTTTAACCCGGTGAAGTCCAAGCCAGCGTCTGACGTCTTTGATGGTTAGCAGCACAGAAAACACTGAAGCTGGAGTTTGTTTTCATGAAAGCGCTGACGTCACAGACGCCACCTCTGTGCCAGATACCTCCACCTGGACGTTTGTAATGCTGACATCAGCAGCAGCCACACACTGGGTGCACAGACAGAGAGGATGTGGAGGTGAACTCAAATCCTCATGCTTCTCAACTTCTGTACGACATGAAAAAAATAAATGTTTGCCAAGTTTTCTTTTTCTTCTGTAATGATTTATGAAAACAGACCTCCACTGCTGCAGGACTTCACAGGGTCACACCGATCGACACGCTGAAACAAACATCTGAAGGTCTTTAAACACTTTGTTTCTTACTTCATGGGAACATTTTGGGAACATTTTTCAGATCAGCCGAATGAACGGAGAGAAAATCGAACTGAGAGGCTGAAACCTGCAGACGAAGAGTGTAAACACCACAGCGCTGCGGCCGCTGCATGTTTGTTATTCCTGCTGTGTGTGTGTGT